ACACAGGACTCAAGGCATGGCCTCACTAGTGCTCAGTAAAAGGGGAGGATTACTTCTCTGCTGGCCACACTATTTGTGATACAAGCCAGGATGCCACTGGCTGTCCTGGCCAGCTGGGAACACCCTTGCCTTGTGTTCATGCAGCTGTTGAACTGCACTCCCAGGTTCTTTTCTGCTGGGCAGCTTTCCAGCCACTCTTTTCCCAGCCTGTAGTGCTGCATGGGGTTGTGATCCAAGTGCAGGACCCAGTACTTCACCTTGTTGAATCTCAACAATATGGTATGGGACATATTCTGAAAACTGTATCTCACATTAGTGCTTTACAAATGTGGGAAATTTCAGATTCCTCCATTTCTACTGTCCTAGGTACATAAGAAATGGACCACACCAGTGGTCCACCTAACCCTCTACTCCATCACTAAGTGCAGCAGTGGGAGAGTGCACAGGAGCCTTGCCACCTCCCGAGTTTATTCCCTCACACATCAGCATAACCCACACTCTTTGTATCACAGGGCACATCCCTGCTCCTTTTCTTTAGTATCTGAATCATGGAATCATAGATTCATAGAATCTTAATATCATGATCTGGCTGTCAGACTACTGCCCATGAATTTGTCTAGCCTCACTTGAAGCTGCTGATACCATCTGCCCCATAGTTCCCTGTGGCAACAGAAGTTCACTGCCCACTGTGTAAAGATGTACTTTCTCAAATGTGCTTTAAGATACTCTATCCCTCATTTCAGTGAATTTCCCTAGTTCCATTATTGCTGGTTTTGGTGATTAGCAGTTCAGTTTAACTAACATTTACATGACTTTTTAAATTACCCTTAGCTTTCTGCTGTCCAGACTTTGAAGAGTTCTGTATTTTCACAGTATGTTTAGCCTCTGGAAAGGGAAGAATGGGAGGTTTTAAGCCTGTCACCTTTTATTTTGTCCCACTTCCCACTCCAGGATGGTCATCCTTTCCTCTCATTCTATGTGTAATGGAAAAACAGATAGCACCAATGCAACTACAGGGGAGTGGGAGGCAGGGGTTGATAAAGAAGTTTGACTTTGCCTGTGGTTGTGGGACAGCCCACAACCTTGTTATATGCAAGAGCCTTGCTGTTGACAAGGCTCTTGCATGTATCCCAAGCTCTGTAACTAATCTCTGCAAACAACTATCCCCATAGGACTGTTATTCTCATAGGATTTGTGAAAAGGCAGTTCATTAAACCTAGAATGTTGACAAATGTATCAATGAGAGGCTCAGTGATCTTTCTGCATCCACACTGACTGCTGGGGCTGGAAGCTGCTCATGATGGTGCTGGTGTAAAGCAGCTTCTTCAAGGGTGACAAGTGAGACTCCTCAGCAATAGATCATCTTTTGAAGGTCCATCATTGGAAGATGGATGTGCCTCTTTGTCTTTACAAATTTTTTAAACTGCTAGTGCTTAACACTGTCTAACATGTACTTTGTAATATATATTTGGCCAATTTTCCGCTTGCCAGTCTGGAAAATCAGCACACAATCATCTTTCAATATTGGGTTTTGTACACAGCTAATGTTAATGGAAAATAGGGGACTGTTAACAAAGACAAAGAGCATGAGCTGACATTATTTCCTTCAAGCTTCATTCAGCAGGAATGCCCTGTCAAGTGGAGCACATTATTCCCAAAAGCATTTTGAAAATGGGTGGGTGAACATCCTCTATCATTCTGTAATACTTGTTAAATATCAACAATTTTGTTGGGAGGGATGTAGACATGGAGGGTGTAGCTAGAGAATTGACACTCCCAAGCAAAGGGTAATACAACAATAATGTTTTGGTTAGCTCTTTGTAAAATAAATAAAGAACAGTTTAAGGTGGGTGAAAAGCTAGACAGAGCCTGGCCTAAGTTTACAGCTGAAATGTAAACACATGGAAAATAGAGGACAGAGTCCTCTGCAAGCAAAATTATCTGCCTGTATTTGCCATTGGATCTGCAGTACATAATTTAAGAAGCAAGTGTCTTACAAATGTTTCCTTAATGGTTTCCTTAATTATTCTAATTAATGAGTGCCTAGTAGGTTGCTTCAGCCATTGGAGAACTCAAGTGGTGTGTTTCTACTCCTGCCTTGTCTTCAGAAATTCCGTAAGACAAGAAATCAAGAATAAAACAGAGTGATGAGGAAGAAGCCAATGACTAGAACTTGATGGAAAATAATAAATACAAAAATTATCATGATTCAAAATGTAGGTACAGTGCTGGAAAAAGGCACTACTCCCAAGAACAGAGGGGAAAATAATTTACTGTCTTACTGCCTGGCATGACTAGTTGTGCTGTGGATGTCTTCCTTTTTTTTGCTGCACATAGTGACAAGAGAACAAAGACTTGACCTTTTTCATTCTTTATATATTAAGCTATAACCTCACATTTTGAAAACAGCAGAGAATAACATATTACTTGGCAATCTAATATCAAATTATGAGCAAACAATTCAGGAATAAACTAAAGTCCTACTGAACCCAAATTGCTGCTTAACCTGAATGAGCTATGAAAATATAATTATGTTTTGGGAGTTCATCTTGTCTTTCTGAATAACTCTACATATATATTTCACAAATCAGTTCATAAATTTTTTTGCTTTTCTTCTTTTTTTTTGAAGTTTCCTAAGTCAAGTAATGCAACAGTACCTGAGAGTATGCATACTATAGCAGTGCTATAACACTAGAGATGCAAGTTCATGTTTCCTTTCTTAATGTTATTCTAGAAAAAGTACTCCAATATGTTATAGAATACTAGGGCACCATTGCTTAGCCGTGAAATTTGGTTGTTTGAATCAACTAGGTGACATTAAGGATTTGCAGCTAAATGCAAATCAATACAAAGGTGGAAGATACTAGCACAAGAAATGGTTTGTTAGAGGCAGAAGTTTGGGTCACAGGTTTTCAAATACTGAGGTTCTGTTGTGTAATTAATCTTCCTCTTCCCAATGCAGAGCATGTATTTGCTTTAAAATAATACTATCCATTTTTTCTCTAGGTAGAAAAGTATTCATGGTGGGAGTCAAAAGAAGCTAACAAGGTAGTTAAATGATATATATTCAAAACAATCCAATAGTATTCTTTTTTCTTGAAAAGAAAGAGAAATGCTTTTTTTCCTACGGACAATGTCTGAGTTCCTAAAAATCATAGAACCTAACTGTACAATCTGATCTGTATTAACAGTTTTATATGAATGAAAAATGCTCCTGAAATTCATGCTGCTAACAAGGGTCCATTATGCTGATCACCTTAGAGAACCTGCCCACCAAGGTTGATTTCCAGTTGATCAACTTAGGCATGAAAAAGAGACATGATTATATCTGCCAAAAATATTAGAAGCACCAATGCTGTTAGTTCAAAAGGAAATTATTTGTAAACAAAAGTAGAGTATGACCTGATCACTAATATCAATCGAACACAGTAAGCATAGCTGCAATTTTAGAGCAGGCAGAAGCTTTCTACAGCTCCCTAGCTAAATTATTTTCCTTTTAATGTCAAATCAAATGTGCTGCTAGAGGATCTTCAACGCAGTAACACAGAGCATTGCATTAAGGCTTTGCTTAGCAAAGGTTGAGCTTCTCAAAAAAGGAGGATAGCAATAGCCAAGAGCTAGAAATTCATCCCAGTGAACTCTTTCTGTCTGTATCTCTCCACTTCAGAAAGAGATTTTGAATTTTAATCACTAGGTCTTAATTTCACATACTTTTTTTTCGAAGTATAGAATTAATGCAGGAAATCCAGTATCTGCTTCCTCACAATCTGCCTAATGATGGTCTGCACACGACTCATTCTGGACCCCAGGTATAATACACGGTCTTAGAGACCCGTGTCAGCTTCATTTATCTCTTTTCCTTTCATAATTACCAGTGAAAAAATGAAGTGATTCTAGGAGTAAACAGAATAAAGCACTTCATTTCTGCAAGAGGATAGAAGGAAATACTGCAATCTTTTCTCCTCAGGTTTATGTGTACAGCACTGCCAAAGATGAAGGCTTCCTGTAAGGCATCAGCTTCTAGGAGTGTACTGAGACATTGTAGTTCTCCTTTTTTTTTTTTTTTGGTAATGTACATTTCCTACAAGCCATAAATATTGTTTTAAATTTATCTCTCAATGCCACAGATTGGGGAACTTTTACATGTATTTGGTTAGAATTAACTGCAGCTTAAAAACAGTTCTTGATTCAAATAATGATTTCACAAATGTTCCCCAAATCTTCAGACCTCTCCTGTCCACACTGATGAGGTCACTATGGACAGAAACTGATTAAGATAGCACTAGACAATTCTCTCCTAGCCAAAAATGCTAAAACTGATTCTACAAAAATCAAAACAGAGGAGAGAAAGGGACATCCTGTATCTTCAAGTTCAACATGTAGCACATGATATATGAGGACAGGTTGAGATATGTGGGTTTGTTAAGCCAGAAAAAAAGTCTTAGGGGACTACTAGGGGCTTAGAATGGGTTTGTTAAGCCAGAAAAAAAGTCTTAGGGGACTACTAGGAGCTCAGAAAGAAGACAGTCTTCTTCACAGTCAGAAATAAAGATGAGAAGCAACAAGCACAAATAGCTACAAAGAAAATCTGGCCGGATAAAAAGAGAAAAAAACACAGTCTACAGGAGAATGGTCAAGTGCCAGACCAGATTGCCCAGAGTGGCTGTGGAATCTTATTTCCTGGAGATACTTTCACTTCAAGTGGACAAAGACCTGATCAACCCAATTTGACTTTGAATTTAGTCTGCCTGTTTGAGAAGGAGATTGAACTGAGCGACCTCCAAAGATCCCTTCTAACCTGAATTATGCTAGTTTTTCTCATTTTGCTAAGCTACCCAAGCCAAACTTTTTTGTCTCCTCTCATAAAAAAGAACCTCAAACCCATTTTCATCCAAAATGGCAGATAATATCATTTTCCTGTGTCAGTCAAGAATTTGTAATAAGTGGGGTGTATTAAACTCACGTAAATGTTTGTAAGCAGTACATTATCTTATTTACAGGTTGATATAAAATAGAAGCTCAGTAGATGGAGACACTTCACACTGAAATGTATGCAACAGAGTTCTGACAAAGGAAGATATTTTACTCCATGCAAAGTCAAAGTCAGCCAAGTACGGATGACACCTGATCTGGCAGTGTGACATTTCCTTCCTTGAATAGGTGAGTCTATTCCTAAATCAGCAGGAGGAAAACTATCTCTCTAAATAATTTTTGGGCAGGATGTCTGAATCTGAACAAATTCCCTGGAAACCTCTAAAGAAACAGTATTGGCTACAGGAGTTAAGATGGTGTACTAGTAGGTGGTTTACACTGTGGGATACAACAGGTTAGAAGGGCAGACAAAGAGATAGAATCAGTGAAGAGAGGGGTACATCTATGCTGGTGAAAAAAGGGAGGACTGGGACCAATGCTTGACCTTGAGGACAGATAGGATGGATTAACAGAAGTCCCCACTGCTTTGGTCCAGTCCCTTCATGAGAAATCAGTCATGTACACCTACAGACTGCTTGGCATTGAGTCTCTTCTGTATCTTACATATTGCCCACAAGATCCTATGACATAATTATTATCTTGTGTCTCTTTTTTTTTTTTAGTCACAGAGTCTCTGAAATAACTTCAGGACTACGTGGCAGCCTATCACTGTCATACCATTGGAGTATGAAACTGGGGGGTTTGTATTGTATTCTCTGGGAAGCAAAAGGGTACAAAGCCTATTAGAAGACTTTGCTGGGAGTAGAACCTGATAGTCTCTTTCTAACTGACTGCTAGATTAGATTTCTGGATTGAACCACTCCCAAAACTGCATCTGGGTTTTCATCTTGCAGAGAATAAGACAGAGTGGTCAAATGCAGAGCCAGGGGTAAGCTGACAAACAATTACATATCCATGCAGGCACTTCCCTATCTTGCCAGAATTGCTTAGTTTCCTCAAAATTTTTAATAGGACTACCATGGGTCTGGTGTCAAAACTCACTTCCTGGCCCTGCGTGTTTACCAGAGTACAGGTGTGTCTACAAGAACTAGTGTGTCTACAAAACAGATTGTGGAGATTTTTTTTCTTATATTGGTACCAGAATCTTAGCCAGTTTTTCTTTGTTTCTATAAACCTTTACTACTGTGCTTTACATTTGGAATTAGTAATTTATCTCTTTCTTTTGACTTAAGTACCATAGTAACTAGCTAAAAGACAGTGGTCCCACACCTCTCTTATTTAGCAAGATATTCCCTTAGATTGGTAAAGAGGCAACAAATTGTTTACTTGGTATTTTAGCAACTGTCCCACTTTCCTAAGATAGCCAAAGGAAAAAGGACTGTATCCCCATGGTAGCTGCAAGAGCTGCTTTGAGACTTTGCATCACAAAGATTAGGAAAGGAACTAGTGTGTTCCAGTGACTGTCTAGATTGTAGCAAGGTAATAGATGCTGATCCTGAATGTCCGCAGGCATCTCATGTCCATGCTTGTGTCTACAGGCTTCCAGATGACCTCCAGTTCCACTGATGCAGAGCATCCACACAGTCCAAAATGAAACCTCCTCAAGCACAGAGTGCTCATGTACACACTGCACAGTACCTGAGTAGGGTCTCCTTGGGGACAGCACAGTGACACTGTGAGTCTAAAACATCAGCAGCAGCACAACTGTGTGTGTGTATACGTGTGTGTGTGTGCAGTGGGATGAGGTTTCAGTTTGAAGGGTATGTAAGGATTATGCTGAACAGACCCCACCGGAGCACTGATTTTATAGCATGATCGTGAAAGACATATTGATTATTCTGGGCCTTGGATTCAGCTCAGTGGACTTTAAGGGTGTCTTGAACCTCCTAGGTTAGTGTTGGAGGAAAGTGAAGGCCCACAGAAGCAAAACCTGACAACTAGAAGCCATCTCTGTCTGCAGGGAATGACCCCTAGGACAAATGATTGCCAGAACTACACCAAAGAATGGTTGTCCATCCAAAATGTCCAGCCAGAGCTTTGCTGTATGGTACAGACACTTCCTGGAATCACATTTGCCTCTTTCATGGTAATATCATTTATGCACCACATAGTTCTGTGGTCATCCGATGAACACCCATGTAAGAGCAGACATTCCTGTACTTTGTCTTGTATTTGTCTATTGCTTTGTACTTGAAATTGTTAAATGTGATTCCATCTTCTAACTCTTCTCCAATTCTCTTTTATATCCTGTGATTCTATTTTATATTGTCAATATTCAAATCATTTTCTATGTTAATATTGCCTCTCAATTTTACATCATCATCAGATTTCATTAGGATATGCACATTTTCGCATGACAATATATACTACATGAAAATATTAAATTAGAGATTGAGATAGACCAAAACTGTTCCCGGGGGAAATTTGCTTCATACTTCCCTCCAGTGTTAGGACTATTTTCAGCACAAATTCCCGTCATCTATGTTCTAACTATCCTCTTTTCAGTTCTTATATACAACCCCTTCTTCATAAACTGATGATTCTCTGTGTGGAATAGAAAGGGACTAAGCAACATCCATGTGGATTAAAGCTATGGCTTTGCAAGGGAAAGATAACAAAAGAAAATATTTTTGTCTTTAAAAAAATCATGTTTTTATCATATAATCTATTTCCAGTGAACACAAACTGCATTTTGTCCTATTTATCCAAGACATACTGGCAAAAAAGCAAGTAAGGTCAGCTTTGCTATGCAAGACCTGCCTTCTTCTTTTCTGGTTCTTGTTTTGTTTATATGGGTATATTTAAAATCTACTATTTTAATTGTCTGTACAAGATCTAATTCATCTTAACTTTCAGCAATTTTCAATTTAGTCTACTCTTTTTACCCTCCAGGAAAATCTTTGGCCTCTTTCTGTATTTGACTAAGGGTGTCTATTTATTTCTGATATACTTTTGATGTTGTTAATTGTCCACCTTGATTCTGAGGCCTTTCATGCCAGCTTTTGGATTAAAAATCCATAGTATTTCTTGCACTTTTGACTTCAGAACAATCCAGTTCAAGCATTCCCTTCCCTAAGCACTTTAGTCCAGCCTGCCTCACTGTATAGTTTTCTCAGCTTGTCAAAATTTTCTCATTTAAAATCCTCACTACATGTACAGATCACTCTTGTTAATCCTTCCGTTTCATCACCAGTGTTTGCCAGACAACAACAAGCTCCTTGGTGAATTCTCTTAGTCTCAAATATTATGAGCTCTGTTGGTTTCGGCTATGGCTTACATGACCAGATGAATGAGTGTGAATGAAGTTGTTTTACCTAAGGCACCTCACTTGCATTTGTTTGCAGAGAAGATGAATGTAGTGCCCCTGGCTTTCCTGTCCTACCTGCATATATAGACATTTGACTGTTTTAAAATATATGGTCCTGTGGAGGGAGTCATGTAAATGTCTCTGTCTAAGATAGTCACTGCACGTTGCCCCTAGAGTCCCTGAAGAGAAGCAGACATTTTAAGGTTGCAAATCAGAAATTAATATTTATGGTCCTTCCAGTGACTAGTTTTGCATAGGGAGACCAGACAGTCATCTCAGAAGTAGCCATCTACACTGCAGATAACTACTGTTAAAAGGAGATGAATCAAACTCCTGCAGTGCTTTAACCAGTTGCTTCCGAAACAAACTATTGCACCCATTTTAGTGCTAATGAGGCTTTGGAGCCTCTCTGCTACCCATTAACACTGCTGAAGACACTGGTTACTTTGATATAATAAAATGTGGCATGTTCTTATTGCCGATATTCTTCAAGATAATTATGTCACTTAAATTTTACCATACTGATAATTAATAGTAGTGAGATTCTCTTGCTAGATAATAATTAGTATTATACCTCAATGCTCTTGTATATATTAAGCACAAAAGACAATGCTTGCTCAAAATGAGGTGCTGGTCTGAATATCTGGCTTAAATTATATATTAGATTTTGTACAGAATATGATAGTTTCTGGGGACCTCTATATTATGTAATGCATACAAGCTGGTGTATGTTCATACAAGGTTATCTACTAAAGATAATTACTCAGTTGTCACAAACGGCAAAAATTCTGTTCTAATAAACCTACACATAATTGCCTAAAACTTTATGGTTTGCTTAAATTTGCATGGCCATAAAAAAAGGACACAATTGCTTTCTTCACACTGAATCATCGTGATTAATCTTACTTTCCTATATTTTTAGTTAAGTAGTCAATGAAGATTAGAAATTTAATATGTCTTCCTTCAAGCCAGGAATGGCTTTCCCTCTGATCGTCCATACAAAAATTTACTACTGGAAATATTATTCTAACAGTATATAATGCAATTAAGCATTTGCTTTTATTTGGTTATTTAATCTTTAGGTCCAACAGACCTTTTCTCTTAATGTATGTCTTGATTTGTTATTAATCAGATGTGTAAAGTAATAAATGATTTCTGAAGAAATATGTCAAATTTTACTGTAAGTCTAAGGAGAGCAGAGAAAACTGCACCCACTATTATATAGTAATGACATACCTTGACACCTGGACCACTTTATGATATTATTATATCTTCAGGCTGACGTATAAAAGAACAATAATACCAATATTAAGCAGTATAAAAGTACTGAGTGCTACTGACATTTTGACATAAGAAAGCTTAAGGTGATGTACAGATGCTCAGTGCCAAAAGATTACCTGACTTCTACAAGCTCAGCTGAAGCAAAGTCTGGTGAGGTGGAGGTGAATTTCCCCAGCAAGTGGTGTGCGGTGATGGAAGGAAAGAGAACCACCTCCATTTCAGGAGTAGGAATTTCTGCAGCAGGAAAGTTGCTCACGGACTATTGAGCTGTACAGTCATGACATTTTTCAGGTAATCACTTTTCATCAGTTTAAGCCCTTCTTATCCTTGTGGATATTTCAGCAGTATTCATGACAGTATTCAGGGTGTAATATTTTCAGAGGTATTTTAAAATTATTTTTTTTTTCATCAGAACTGTGTCTGGGTTTTTCCACAATATTATAAGCTCACTATTCTCTGGTTTTCACTTGTGTTGGGTAACTCTTCTCATCCTTTCTGATTATTAATTGGACATAAAACTTTTAAAACAGTTGGGTAGGAAAAAATGCATAGCAAGTACTACGTGTGAAAAAACAGATTTCTTTTTTATAAACACATAGCTACATCCATGAGGAATACTCTCATGATTGTGATGAGTATTTAAAAACCCATTAGTTCAAAAAGACAGTTGGAGTACAAGTGTAATTGTACAAGGTAGTTAATTGGAATTTGAAGTTCATGAAGGCCCTTTCTGTAGCTTTTGGGTGTAAAACTAGCACAAACTTGAACATTCCATGGGATGGAAGCAGTCAAAACAGATTAGATTTTGTATTTGGTTATATCAAAAAAGAGTCTAGCCTGAATCACCTGGCATTAACAAACAAAACTCAGAGCTATTTAACATAAATGTGCAGCAGTTCTATTACAGATGTTACATGGTATTTGTCAGTAAATGATCTTTGAAGATTAGAAGCTAGGGAACTTCACAATCAGATGCATTAAATTCAGCTGTCAAGTAATACAGTGACTCACAAGAACTTAGAACAAATTTAGGAGGAAAAACCCAAGTAATTTCAGTTCAGTATGTGTGTGAGAAAGAGCAAACTTTTGCCCATTGTGGCTATGATCTCAAATACTAATCTGGAAAACAAGTGAAAGTACTTTACAAAGCTCCTGGTTAAGAACATTGAAGGCCGAGAGGAAGTGAAAATAAAATATTCTATTATTTCTTTCCCCTCTTTATTTGGTTTTTCTCTGGCTTAAAATATAGCAGAAATGTCCCCGGGCTTTGAGCATCCGGTGAATTATCTTGAAATTTAACTAAACCAGACAGTACAATCAGTTCATGCTGTACTACCAGGTAGCTCTATGTATACTCCCCTGTTCATCCGTCTGCACGTTATTTCTCCAGCCACTCTTCAAAGGGAAGCTAACAAAAACAGGTGCTGGACAGGGGGCAGGAGGCAGCATCCCAGACTCTATTTCATAGAGAGTATACTCCTGACCCACCACTTTCAACTTAGTTGCACTCGAGCTAACAACAGCATGTCTCCAGATTGCAACCTAGGCTCTCTTAGGTATTGCACATAGAGATATCCTAAGACATACTTGGCTCATGCTACTTTTAATTTATCTCACTATGCCAGTTCAGGAGAGCTTTACTGAAGCAGACTCATATGGATTTACCCCTAGCTGCTTGAGGATAGAAAATAATAATGGAATTCATAATTAGACAAATGCCAGTTTCATTACTTCTGACCTCCATATATCAGTTCCAGATAAAAGAATAACTGCTCCGTACTCTTAGATGAAAAACCATTTAGATCAAGGCTCAGCAAGAAGCCTTGGACAAACCTGATATATCTATTTAGAGCCATGACAGAGAAGAGCAATTTATCAACATCAGTAAATCCTGATGAATGCCAAGACACACAACCTTCCTAAATCAAACAAGGGCCTCAACCAGGTTTTGTCTAGTAATTGCTTGCTGAAAGCTCAATGCGAGGTAGGACATAATTAATTGGATTCTCCCTCCTCATAGGATAGCATAGCCCTAGAGTGCAGGCTGCGAAGGTTTAGGAGTCAAGCAGGAACAGGAAATTAACTTGCAGAAGATAAAGGAATGGCATTCTCGCGTTCTCCAGCAGGTAAGATCATGTGGAACTTACTGGGGTTTTTGGTTGACTTTTCCAGGCCCCAAAACCTGTTTTGCATTCCATCTGCTAATCCTGAGTGTCCCATTTAGCCCAAACACTGTGAAATTTTTATATATACTTGGCAGATTAAAGAAATCTGTATTTGTTTTAGGTACTATATGGTAATTAATTCCACCATAAGAAGGTACTAATCTAGATACGAAACGGTTAAGGCACTATTTGGGGCTTATTAAGCAAATTAGTGCACTATTTTGGCTTGTGAAACAAATCAAGCCTTGCTCTGCCAGGGAAAAAATGTCATTTTGCATATTACCATGGATATATGTAATGTTGGGCAAGTCATTTGCACTTTCTTTCTCTGTTCCATTTTCTTAAATGGGAATACCAGAGCCTGACTGCAATGGATTTATGGAAGATGTATTTGTTAAAGATTATGACTATGCTGTAATAGTGGACCTATGTAAGTATCTTCCAACTAGAACAGTGACAATAATATTTCTTTCACATTTAACCAAGGTACACAGTGTGTGGATGAACCTGCAGGACCTCTGACATCCAGCAGGTAGCAGGAATAAGTGACAGAGTGAGAGCCATCTTTATTTAGTTTCCTGATGTCTCATTGAGACATAGATAATATGAGAAAAGAAAATGCTAGGGTCTGCACCTAATCTGTTTGGGTTTTACCACTAGGGTAAAAATATTACACACAAACACACACACACACACACACACACATATACATAGAGGAAGAATTCACAGAAATAAGCAAGCTTGCTTTCTCTTATATCAGTTTCTCCTGTGCAGGGGGAAATGGGATCCTGAGAAACTCAACTTCCTTTAATTTGCCAGAAGACAGCTTTGCCTGAGAAACAAGCTTTCAAGCCAGAAGGCAGACCAGCTCTAATATTCACCCATCAGTAATCTCCTGTAAGGATTATGCATTTTAAAAAGAGAAAGGTGTGTGTTCTGGGATGATCCTTTTACTTCTCAGCATTTGTCATAGTTGTTCTGTCAAAAAGTACTGCTTCTTTGAGAATATAGTCTTCGTGCAAGTGTGTAGGTGACTAAGATTGTTAATGCCTTTCAAAACCTACTGGTAAAAATATCCAGATCTCAGAAAAACTAAATCCCAGGCATCAAGGCAATGATAGCCAAGGTGCAGCTTATGTAGCTAGTTGTCTAAAATGGAGGGCTTCCTGTTGTAAAACTGCTAGTCTCTTTCTTGAAAGCAATCATCCTGGGGGGGGGGGGGGGGGGGAAGAGAGAGGCAATACAGTCTAACCTTAATGAATGTTGAATTTCCACTGACTTGTGCCAGCATGTTGCTTGTGCCAGAAAAATGGCAGAAGATGATGTACAACACAATTAGTGCCTAGCTAGTGGAAGAAAAGAGAGATTAGAAGGAAATTTAGGGAAAGAGTAACCTGTTTCTTATCCTGCACGTGAGAAAAGCCCATGGAAACTGGATCTTGTAGGCACATGAAAGGTCACTCAAAAATCATGTATCATCAGCTGCTACTGTCAACAACAAAGCAGGGCTGTTACTGACATTTCTGCAATCAGAGTATGTGCTGTGAGCAGCAGGACACTGACATCCTGCCGTAGTGGATTTAGTGAAACTTGTGGTGAGTCTGTCCCCTCTGAATGGAGAACTCCCCAAAAAGTGTTTGGAACTCAGCACAGTGCCTTTCCCCCCATTATATATGTTACCCTTTTCTGGGTTCAGTCAGCTGTAGTAGGCAAAAATGAACACTTCATAGGTTGAGTAAAACCCTGTTGAAAGGGATGAATGTAACAACTGCTGTTTGTTCAAGTTCATTGTAAGGAACTGCACAAGGGGCCTCATATGAAAACACAGCCACATGTTACCACTCCAAACAAACGTGTACCCCGTGAGATCCCAGTCAGGAATTTGAACTATCTGGGTGGAGGTCTCAGATAGGTGGAGTTTCTGAGTGCTGTCGTGGACGTGTGTGGGTGGGACAGAGAGAAAGAAAAAGGGAGACGGCAACAGAAAGGCAGAAGGAGGAAGGGGAGAGGAAGCAGGAAAAGAACAGAGAGGATATGTTTGGTTTTTGTTGGTTTGGGGGTTTTTTTGCAAGCAGATGTGAGCTTGCTTTGGTTGTGTTCCAAGCAGGCACAACTTGTGCCCACGCTATCAGCAAAAGGCTTAGCAGCTCAGGCTTACTAACCATGGCTACACTGTTTATGGTTTGGAGCTGACTCATACCCATCCAGAGTAAAGGCTGACAACTGTGCAGTTAAAACCAGAAGAGACCAGAAAAACAATTCCAGACATAGGCAGAATAAGCAAGTTGTGTCTTCTCAGACAAACATATAGGTCTTAGACTTGCTGCAGGGCACTGTCCATAAAAGTTTAAACTAATCTTAGCACTGAGCCGTGGGAATTCATCTTGCAGTTCTTGTGCTCTGATCCAGGAATTTAGCATTGGGCTACATGTACTTTGTGACAAAACTTCTATTCTTCATTCTGGAACTGGAGGACACTCTTCAGTTACCTGCTCTGTAAGTGAGCCAATCCTCATTGCTACTACAGGTTCTGTTGACTTCAGCTTTCAGCCATGAGATTGTGTTTGTCTAATTTTGTTGTTCTGACTCTCACCTATATTGCGTGACATTGGCTAAATCCAGCTGATGTGCAGTAAATCAAATACACATTAAAAAAAAAGAAGAAAAAAAAAGGAAATCAATTATTTTAGGCCTCAAACTTGGATATGTCTAAGTCCAAAACGACAATCTGAAACAAATCTTTCAGCTTTCTTCTGAAGGTGTATGTGAAGCATCTCAGCATCTATCTCACACCTGCACCAGCTGAGATAGCAAAACCATGATGTTCCTCAATCTGCCTAAGAAGAAAGAGGCAATATAGCCAGGAAACTTGGCTGGTCTTAGCAAAACATCTGGAATTTGAGCTCTGCTTTGACAATTTCTGCATTTTATAAGAAACAGTTAGTGAAGAATATTTATGAACATTTCTTGGAGCAAAAACTAAAATCTAGATATTCCCCCTCCTGGGTAAAGGCCCTAAGGCTCTGAAGCCTAGGATCACATCCTCTTTTCCACTGGAACTCAAAGACTTTTTTCATTCCTCTGGTGCTGATAAATTATTGGCAGTTGCAGCTCCAGAAAGTTGCAGATGACCAGAAAGTTAAAAGACCATTTATCTCAAGTTTGTTGATCTGCTCTTATTCTTAAAAAGACACTGAGCTGCAATATGGCCTGAAGAGAGGAGACATCCCTCTTATGATGTTAAATGTCTAACTCCCAGAGCAGAGCTAGGATTACTATCAGCATTGGCTTGGTGTAGACAAGCCAAAACCTTTGAGCATGCTGACTGTAACAATGCACTCCTATTGCTACATTCTTCTGATCATACACAGTGCAGGAACCTGACATGACTCTATCCAAATATTCCATAATATCTATCTCTATCCAAATATTCCATAAATCCTGTACAGGATAGAATTTTCATTGCTGTGATGTTCACTTTTAGATATAGGTGCAAGCTCACAAGAAAGATACTGGTTTCTCAGCTATGGTGGTTGTATTGCATTTATCCTCATGATATATATCATTTCAAGGGCAAACACCACAGGTCTTTTCAAGTCTTGATGTGTCTTATGAATGCATCTGGACTCTACACTGCAACAATCTTCTCCAAGGACAAAAGGATAATAATTCTGTATTTTGTGTTTTGAAAATTTGAGCCTAAGTAGTTTGATGAGAGGTTTGGGATGTTTTTTCCCTCTGTTTCAATAATGATAGGATTTCATTCTTCAGATACATCTCTTCTCTGTGTCTCACAGCATAATAGTCAAACTTGGTAATGTTTTTAGTCAGTGGTGAAGAGCATGTCTTTACTACCTGTTGAGGGCTGTTACATTGGGCTACCAAACAGAGCTGACTGAAAGCTGGTTGCTTCTTGCTGGACGTTATATATGCTGCACATTACACCGTTATTCAGGCACACTGATTCCACAACAGAGGTATTTCATCTGCATTACAAGGTAACAGTGATAATAGCAAATTTCTTTCTCATAATCTATAAGCATATATCTTATTCTGTATATAAAATATGATATGTCATATGCAACATATATTACGATAATATATTACAATATATGTGAGGTAATGTGGGTTTTTTACATTTTCTATTATGTTATACATTTTTGTATATATGTGCATATATCTAGATATATAAAATCATATCTATAAATATAAAATCGTAACTTAAGGAAAGTTTTAAAGATAAATGGCACTCAGTTTAGCAGAACAATCTCATCCCCCTCCCCTTCAAAGACATGTCTCTGTATGTCTCTGGCATATAAAGATACTGTAGCAAAACACTGAGGCAGTTTAACTTTACAAAGTGCAATGTAGAAGTGTTTTCAGAATCCATGAGCGTACTGCACTCCAGCAGCCTTGATTTCTTCTCAAAGGGTTAAGAAGAAATTCACTTAAGCAGAACAGCTAGGCTCAGTTTACCAACTTCTTTTAATACTTTAACATCTTTGTTGAAAACTGTACTGTGAGCCCTCAAAATCAATCATCACAACTTCTGCTGGCAATTAGGATGAAGAAAATTAAACCCAGGAGACACACCAGTTGTACATACAAAGCTGATCCCCCTGGGGGTGATTGCTTCACCTACTAGAGCGTGCCAGAAACATCTCTTAAGGCTTTATATCATCATCAAACTGGAAAAAAAAAATAAAATTCTAAAATGTGGCAGTATATTTCATACATGTTGTAGACTTCTGCAATTTTCAGTTAGAAGGCTCCGACTTTAGCATTCCTACAGCAGTAAAGGCCATATCAGGTACATTGTCTCAGCTGTTTGTTAAACAAAAATGAACAAACAAAACGAGATCTTCAGTAAACTCCAGCTAACTCTCTTCTCACTAAAGTTTTCCACTGTTTAAATTCCAAATGTCTAAATTAGCCACTACAGGATCCCTTCAGCTTATCACT